ACTCCTTCTTTTCGCTATTTGATACCCCCGTGTATGGTGAAAAGTTTGCGAGATATTTCGATTGCCCAACTTGCCCCTATGCTCAACTAGCCCCGCTCTACCCTACCTATCCAACATTCACTCAAAAACAGAAAATTAAATTATTTTATGCCGTAATGCTCAAAATCAAAATACATATCTAACTGTTTTTAAGTTATGTAATGAATATTTCACTCGAATATAGGTCAACGGGTCATGATTTAAACAAAAAGGAAATATTGATACTAATTGCTACTTTTATTTCATATTTTAATAAATCAAAGCCATATTCAGTACAATTTTATTCAAATTTATAAAGAATGTAATTAAAACTCCATTTTTCTATATGAAAATCGATAATATCGTTTTCGTTTTAAAAACTTTTTCTGCTGTATTCTAATGCTTGAAAAATGAAGGATTAATTGAATATCAAAATTAATAAATAATTATTAAAGTCAAAATATCTAACTGTATACTGTGTAAAGTACAAGGGTATCAGAATACTACGTTTAATTACTGTACTTCATGATAGTAAGTCATGCACTCATAAGTAACTCTGTTTCTTACTCCAAGACAGCTAGTAAGTATCATATAAAGCATTGTGTAGATATAATTTGTGATAGAATTATTTTAATTGCCTTCATGTCGGATCCAATTAGCAGGAATCTCTTTTCGTTGTATAATTGTTCGTAAAATGAAAATAGTTTACGCCTCGTCTAGGGTTGTCGTCAAAAGTAAAAAAGTACCTTTAAAAGCTAAATTTTTTTTTTCATTGACAGAATATATTTAGTTGTTCATAAATTAAGGTTCTTATTCATAAAGAAAACAGTATCATAGCACCGTGTTAAGTAAAGAACTCATATGTCTCTTTTAATTACAGCGTTAACGCAATTTAACAAAAAGAGACGAAGTACTTTAGATAAAATAGTGTAGTAAGACTGATTGAAAATTTGTGAATTAGACATAGACATATAATTGATTACAAACAAAAACACTCACACATAACCCACAAAATAACAATAATCAAAGAGAAAAAAAAAGATATACTAATGAGAGATTTATAAAAATATTTTTTTTCCCATTCGGTTCGCCTCAATAAGGATTTAATATGTACTCATGTATCAAAAAAGTTATAATTCATTAATTTCTTAAATCAAACGTACAAATGACACAGGTAACACACAATCACACAGCTTCACGTGATTCTTGGTAAACATATTTTGATACAGAGTAGGTATACCATACGTAAAAAAATTGTGCGTGTACTAGGTGTACACAGGTAAGAAGTGAAACTTCTTTATGATCTTATTTTTCGAAAAATGATCTACTATATGCAACTTTACAGAAATTCGTTAAAGTTTAACAAAAGGCTTTTATTGAATACAAATATTTCATTTTACCTTATTACTACGAAGATTATTTTAGAATTTCATTAATTGTAATAGAATTATTACTATCATTGAAAAACGTGACGATTTGCTACAAAATTTCTCCCATACGTCGATAAAGAAGTTTCATTCCATCGCCGATAAAGAAGTTTGACTTCAAAAAGCAACATGGCGCGTAACCGAAAAATGTGACGCGTAACGAAAAAATGTTACACTAAATTTTTTTCCAACCTCAATAAAGAAGTTTCACTTCAAAAACTCTTGATTTTGCTTCTAGCGTCATGCTGCAAGCATGTCAAGCATGGGATCATATCTAGAAGTAAGAAGAAAAAGAATTGTGAGAAGAGCTAACAGCATAATTAGGACCTTCAAATTATTTTGTTTATTCCTGTTTTACTTATGACTTCCTTTCAGTTATTGTTTATTGCCTTTAAAATAGGATGTTCTACGATCCTATGTGTGATAAATGTGGCAAAGGGATAGGCCAATTTAAAAAAAAATATCTTATCAATTTTTATTCCGAAACTGGACGATGTATATTTTGTATACGACATAGTACAAAAGAAAATACTGTTCTTTTAGTCAGACTTTGTGTTAGTCACGTCTGTTTGATTAAATACTTTTTTATATATCTCACACACTTTGGTAATTATTTGAAGACTCACTATTAGGCACTAAGGTTTGTCAGTCGACAGCCCTAGCGACTACATTGAATATTTAATACTTTACAGTCCGAGACTTCACGTACAATATAGCGAAATATGAAAGGACATTTACCAAAATAGCGTGTTGATTTACAAGCTTTTAAGCTCAATGGTTATTCAAATGCTTCAAGCTAGTTGGCCTTATGGACCGACTCTCATCTCTTAAAAGTATGTTCGATGTCCGGCTGTGGACCACCAGACATTGTCAATGTGAAGGAAAACACGCCAAGATGGCCATCGGCCCAAAAAGTCGACGGTCCGTATCAGGCACAGAAGGCTAGTCACCTACTCGTCTATTTAGAAAAATAAATTATCACGAAACAGAACAAAAATATATTAATATCTGATATGAGCATTGAGGTCCTTTATGCCTTTGAAATAAAAAAAGGAAGCTCGGAATTCACCACACACCCAGAAACTTCTTGAACTATATTACGGCCACTATAAATATTTAGAATCTATACAGATTTCATAATAACAGTTTTATCAGATAATAAAAACAAGTTTAATTTCAAAGATAGTGCTTTATTACAGATACTATACTCCGCCGAATACAAAAACATCAACAATTTAGTTAAAGAAAATATAAGAAGCTTAACAGGTATTTGACATAAAATAATGCGGTGCTAACCAAAAACAGCATCTAAAAAGGATATAACATGGATCTACAGTAAAGTGCTGTTGAATATCAATTTTTCATTCAAGAAATGCTTTATTAATTCTTTATATATTGATGGCGCTTGCAACACTAAACATCAATTGTCACTGCGTTGACAGCTCACGTTTACGTTTGGTAATTGCCACAAATTGTAGAATTATATCAATGACATTTATGTTACAATTATTGTTTAGTAGAATTCTGAACAAATTGTTCTAATCTACAGCAAACCGTTGGTAACAAAAGCAGCCAATTATTATTAGGCCATGATGCGAAAAGATCCATTTCATACCCTCTTCATTGTCAGATTATTGAATATTTATTATATCAGTCCTTACTTAAAAGCTAATGGGAATTAATAATCACACTTTGTACATTATTTTAAATGAATATAATAATAAGTGACTGATGTAGGACAAGCATTGGGCTTTCTTACTAAAATGGATCTGATAGGGCCGGGCCGTATACGATATAAAATTCAGAGCCGACACTTAGCTCGAACTATGAGTCTCGGGGACGTATGTGAGACAAACTAAGTATCGTTTCTAAATGTTACATTTAATCTTACCCTCAGAGTCGTTTGTAAAGAATTAAAGATATATACTAAAATGTCTCTTACTGCCCTGTGATTTCTTCAAGAGTTACCTAATTGGGTTTTATTTCGTAGGGACATATTATGTCGGCAAATATAATTAGTTCATTGTCGACGTTGTTTACAGCTATTCGAATGTAAACTTAATACACGGCTGAACAAATAGTCCCATATTTATTACCCTTAAAAGGTTGTTGGTACAGGCTTCTGATATATCGTAATACAAATTGCAAAACAATATTTATTCAGTAAATAAATTTCTTTGTTATTCAGTTAATTAACTAAATGCGTACAGGATTATTATGTCGTGACTACCTTATCCCTTCATTCAATGACAAACATTTTTATATTATATTTGACGTATCGTTAATATAAGACCTAGTATGTTTTATGCAAATTGTGCGTAATTTTCAATGAAATAGATAATCTATTTTTTATGCTATCGTGTTTAAAAAAAAACACGGTTTCTTAGTCCTTTACTTTGATTCCTTCCATTACCAAAATAGTGGAAGCGCTTCAACCAATACAATCTTTATTATATAATGTTCACGACATCAAAAAGTAACGACGCACTTCCCGACTAGTGAGAAACCGTCCATTTCAATCAATTCACGATGAATAGAGACAAATTGCATTCCCTTCATAAATAAGAATTACCGTCAATATGTATTTTATTTTGAGTCGACAGAGCCTTTGAACATACGACAAAATATCTTTACTTCGATATTAAATTTTCAATTATTATCTAAAAACGCATCATAATGTAAAAGTGTGATTATCGCCGAAGACATCTACATGAGGTATCTAACAAATAAATTAGCTTAACTAAGGCCGGATGTGCACGGACGACCATCAAATCGTCAATCCACATCCGACCCGACTTTTCATTAAAGAAGGTTACACTCGAATAATTACACATTCAGGTAAACGAGGCCGTTACATCTCCATCCGCATTGAGGCACATCAATTATTCATAACGCAACGTTCATGAGGGTCTATAAAACTGGATATTTTCCTGCAAAAATGTTATTCCCGGTTTGTTTTTCAGAGCTTAAATATATCTCATGAATAAATGTCGTATTAATTGCTTAAATCAATGCGAACAGCAAAGGAAGATTTATGAGAAGTTTTGCATAACAATTAAAAATAGATTTGTAAACGGGATAAAGGAATTATCTACTATGAAGTCTTAGGGTGCGTCCTCATCTGGCGAATGCACCGCGAATGTGCAGCTCGCGAGTAGTTTGCGAGCTGCGCGCGTGCAGTCACGGCAATGGTTTGGTGCGCCTCTTTAGCGCAACTCGTGCAAGGCTCGTATAAGGCGCGCGATCTACGCGCACTCAGTTCTCGCACGAACAAAAATGCACGCGCGGCGTATTCGCCAGATGTGGACGCACCCTAAAGTAAATTATATTCACATACATAGGTTGGAACAAGAGTCGTCATCTTCATACGTTTCATAACTACTTCTGTAGAACTCCTACGACAAAGTGACTATAGCGTCCAAATCCAGATTGAAAAAACATGTTAATTTTTATTCAATACAAAGCAATAAATCTCGCTAACAGTGATTAACAAGTTCTGTTCTGTTAAGATTAATGTTGCGTAGTCGTTCGAGTGTAATCCCCTTTAAAAGGCGACTAGACCGCGTTACCGGCGCTGTGGACGTTGCCGTTAACACTCAGGGGGATTGTGTTGAACTCGTCTTCTAGATCATCTGTTTTCCTGTAACAAAAATATTAACCTTTAAAACATATGGTTGATTGTACATATAGTACAATCAATGTTTACATTTAGACTATTAAATATGTAAAGAAAAAACTTTTTGACCGGATTCAAGTTATGTATTATTATAAATTTACAATTATTTAACATAATTTTAAATTTATCCGACGTTTCGCGTGCTTTACAGCGTGCGTGGTCACGGTGACCACCGGTTAAAAAGTTTTTTCTTTAAATTTGTAAAGGTTATGTTAATCAACGACAATACTATTAAATATGTTTTTTTTTAATTGGAGATAACGCTATAAATATGATAGACACAAAAGAAAAAGAAAGAGTGGGCGCTACAATCTTTTAGGTCTGGGCCTCAGATTTATGTATCCGTTTTGTCATCATTTGTGATCAGGCTACTGTGCCATTCGCCGAGGTATTTTACGTCTAAGGCATGCTGTTTCCTCACGATGTTTTGATTCACCGTACGGGCCAGAGTTAACATCAAAGAAAAACGTTTTATACAATACTAAAAGGTCAAATTCAAATCAAACATTAATCAAATGTATATACAGATTAATTACGCTTGAGCCACGTTAACTACATAACTACGTGTATAATGGGCGAATACTAGCCTCTACATTAGCTGAAGTACAACGCACCAATCAAGTAGTACTGCAAAAGTACTCTCCCTTATTAATTTAGGATCGTAAGATACTTATTTAATACTTCCATAAAAACCTTATTACTTAACGCTTAAAATAAAACGATTATGAACGGGCTCTTCCAAACCTGTAGGAGCAAAAATATATAAAATATTGAGAAAGTACAAGCACGAAAACATCTTTACATATATGAAGACTCTTTTGACTAAAATGTAACGATTATTGTTGAAGAGGACGTAAAATCTGTCCATAGACCATAGTCCATACACCATATACCAAAACAACCGATTGTAATTAATAAATATATAAAGAAATCAAATATAGGCGTTGCCAACAAACAAAAACTTAGAGTAGAATAGAATAGAATGTTGTTGAAGATGTTTATTTCCCTAGTTCTTATGTTACATTATGTCCACAGGTCGATGGTGACTGGTGTATTCAGTCTGTGGGTATGTCAGCTACTTATAGTCTACCTATGTTTGTCTCAGAGAGATCTATATAAGTGCCGTGCAGTGTGTGCTGTGAGCTTGTTAAATTGTAGGTACAGAATAAATTTATAATGTTGTTACATATTGTCTTATCCTACTTTCAGCTAATTATAATTTATGGGGACGCGGAGCGGTCGTTCGCTTGCTGAGCAGCCGACTCCTGTCTTTTTTTGATATAATATAATCTATTTCACCTAATCTAGTATTAGTTAGTAGGGGGTTGTGCTGTCCGTATCCGAGGTAGGCTTTACCAGGGGTCTCTAGATCCTCGATGTGCATCTCGCGGAGTCGACGCAGCAGATCCTCGTTTAGAGTTATCCTAACTTAGAGTATAACAACTAAATCTCAATAATACCAAAGGGAATAATCAAAATACGAGAGTGTAAGCGGCTCATAATCCATCACAATTAAATGAGTATTTAGAGATAATCTCCCAAAAATCCAATTAAGCCACGTACTATTGGGATAAAGTTGGGAACTTGAGACAGAGTTTAGCTCGCTTACCTGTAATACCTCTCAGCATTTCTATAGAGTGTGTTCTTCAAATAGTTAAGAAATTATTTGAAGTAATTACTAGTAAAGTGCGCATAAGTTTGTATCTAAAATTTACTAGTTTCGCCATAATATTACTTTTTACTTAGCCTACCTTTTTAGTAGCTACATACCAATCTATGGAACATTTTGCTAGCTACCCCATAGAGACTATTCGCTTTTTATAAAAACGTAAGTACTAAATAAAACAAAACAAAAAAAGTCGTTTAAGGAACAAATACAAAAAATATACTCGAATTGTTCCAACCGTCTTCGACTTTTAAGCTTAGCAACATATGCGATTCACTTTTATTTATGTAGATACCTAGTTGTTTTTTCTAATATTTTCTTGTTCACGAATAACGAGTAAATATGTATAAATTATTAACCATACAGTCTAAGGCCAAAATATTCGAGACCGTAACGTTTCACAAGACTTAAATAAATATACGATAGATGGAGTTTCGTTTGATTTTGATTGGTCAACATTATTTTAGTTCAATCACACACACGCTATATGTAGTTCTGTGTCTAGTGTGTGATGTGTTTTTGTAGTAAGTATTAGATTCTCAAGCGCTTTTATCTACTACTTTCTATAATATTTTATTATTCATAGTCTAAAGCAAATATTTCTATACAAATCTTCTGGTCGAATGAGTTTCTACGTCAACAGTTCTACGCTCTCACATACAATGTTATGTACTAGCAATCAGAAATACGTACATATTGCTAATGTTTAAAAACAGCAACCGCCTGATCTCTGTAGATAGAAAAAAAATAACAAGCTATAAGAATGATAACAAAACTTATTTATGTGGTATTTAAAATGAGTAGCGGTTAACAAGTAGGATACACAAGGCGACCGTGAATGTTAATGTCATATTGGGTAGGCCTCGTCGTACATACTTGGACCAAATCCAGGAGGTACTATAGAAGGGACAAGTTAAAAGTTCTCATAACCGACCAGCGAGCATGGTCAATGTCATGATAGTGGATAAAGCGAGGAAGTATGTCAGGACCTTAGCACGTGGAGATCCGTGGTCTACCATTAGCATGCCCGTCTCCCTGTGTACCAGAGTGCCTAGAGGGAGAAGCCTAGTGTATATACTCTTCCTCCAGTATCCCTCCCCTATATATCAAACACAAAATATAATTTATTCACCAAATAACCTTATGTACGTAAAAACTTAATGCTTTTTAATTTACATTTACTGCCAATTCTACATCATGCTCCTCATCACATGTAAAAGCACTTTATTGTTGTAATAAAAAAAATATATACATACCGTCAAAATCGTTTACGACGACATCGTTTAGAACAAAATACCGGTTATATTGACCAAAATCAAAGGTCCCGGCTGAATTCTATTGTATTAGGTTCTTAATAACAACTTCATCGGCTGTTACGACTATCGGTTTTTACGACCAAATATGAGTAACCCTTTGATGTCGTTATAACAGATTTTGACTATATAGGTAAATGATTTGCTTGGCTACTTTTTAGCCTGTATGATATTTAAGTATACGAAAACCATATTGCATAAATATTAAATACATTCTATAATATTACCAAGGTTTTGCAAGGATATAGTCCGCAAAATACGTGCTTTATCGTAGGAGAATATTTAATGCAAAATTCTGTGCAGTACTGTGCAAGTTTGCATACCTTAAACGGGAAATAATATCATATTAGCCCCTTACATCCTCCGTGGCTTAGTGATAAACACATGGTTCATATGCCGTTTGACGTTAGAAATGGAGTAAAACACAACTTTAAGGTTAATTTTAGAAACAGGCAGCTAATATGTGGATAAATTTATTCATTTGCATACCAATTCTTAAAAGGCCGGCAACGCACTCGCCCTCTGGCATTGAGAGTGTCCATGAGTATCACCTTACATCAGATGGCCTCTTGCTCATTTGCCCCCTGTTCTTATAAGAAAATATTTAACCCAACAAACCCAAACGGTTACCCATATGTAATGGAATAATTATTTCAAAATACTTATTTACGAAATAAACATAAGCTTATATTCTTCTGGTTCGGTTTTTGATACTAACACAGATCATTTTCCGGAAAAAATATCAAAGTTTATTCAAATGTCAAAAAACTTTGTCGCTTTCCTACTCCAACTACTCGTAATTTCATTCGTTTCTTCACCAAATTTTTTGGTGGTTCAATTTCCTGCGATAAATAATTTACGGTTGACAAAGCCTATTATACCTATTAAGTTATCCATTAGAATATCTGCCCTAGAGAACTGAACATCAAAAATAATATAACTGTATACTATTCTTTAAAATTTCACATTCACGTTAAGAGGATAGCATCAAATTGAACAAAAACAACGGTAAACGAAATCGGATTTAGATTCCAAACCACGAACAACGTATCTAGTGTTCGGTTCGTTGTCCCTCACAAAGGAACTAAAGGGATTATTGCTGGTAATTGGATAAGTGCCTTGTTCATTGGAACGCAATTGCTCAACGCAGCGTTCGTAGAGGCTACTTTATTCGAAATAGATTATATTCTATAAGACTAAAGCTAACGCTTACAAGTCTCTGAATAAAACATTTTAAAACAATTGAATAATTAAAATTCTCTGCGTTGTAAATAAGTATCTTCAAAATGTTTAAAACACTTAAAAATTACAATTTACTTGGAGGCAAAATGTCGTTGCGTTAGAATCGAAAAAAACCAATAGTCTAGTAGACAAGTTGAAAATGGTACAAAATAGGGATACTGCTCTTAAAATTATGTGCGATAGCTCATTGGATCCGGAATGACGTCTTGAAAAATGTGCCAAAAGCGTATGGAACCCCCCTAAAAATTTATATCCCCCCTGGATAAATGGTATAAATAATGGAGATAGAGTTCCGGGAGTTAGGAGTTTTTTATTGGAAATTTCCTCCTCTTTCAGAATCTTCAATATTTATAGTTTATTAAATATTGGCAAAAAACGAAATGCCATTTTTTTTTTCATATTTAATTGTTTATAACTTTTGCAATTTTTTATGTGCTAATACACGCTTTTGGCACATTTTTCTAGACGTCATTACGGATCCAATGAGCAGTATCTCTATTTAGTACCATTTTCAATTTGTCGACTAGACTACAATTCGTGATTATAAATCAAGTATAATCCTGATATAACTCGATTTACACACCGTAAAACGTCAAAGACTTGACTTCGATTGGTAAGGGCCTCATAGCCTAGCGAGCTTTTATGTGTCCGCTAGGTGCGGGGTATCGGGTTCGATTCCCGGTAGAGCGCAAATTTATTTCTTGAAATTTAAATTTGTTCTCTGCCTTTGGGAGGGTCGTGTGTTACCGGGCGAGTGCTTAAACCGTACATAGGAATTTATAAGGCAAGCAGTGAGTATGCTACCTATAAAATAGACTGTGAAGTTCATCCTGAGTAATCCTGAGCCGAGGATGGTTATTGCAAGTGCTTGGCAAATAAATACATTTCATTATTCCAGTCATTAAATTTGAACTTTTAGCATCCCTACTCATCCAAAAAGAAAGGTGTAGAACCTAAAAACTCTCGGTACTCTTTTAAAACAGCAAATCAACATTCTAACCCTGAGTCGAAATGCCTAGTGCGAGATCAATGCCCGGCGTATTGAGCTGGCACTAGCTCGCAATACGGAGGGCTCACAAATTTTTTTTTGGTACTATAAAGTTTGATTGGCTTGATGTTACCGCGTTCCGTCTATAGCTTTGGTGGTGCAATGGGGTTTTAGTGGGTATGCACAGATCGCGAGTACCACATAACACTCCGCCCCATGCAGTCACGAATATTCGTAATGCATTTCCCACCAATACTTAAACAAATTTTATAACAACAACCTTCTATAACACCAAACGGGTCCTACGACACAGTTTACGCTGTACATATATTGTATTATCGTGAAAGAATGTTAAAAATACGTTATTGTTATCTAAATAAAATATACATACCGTTTTCTGTATTTGTATATAATGAGTACGATGAATGCGTTTCCGATGAACAACGCCGCTATCAGTAGCGACGGGATGACGATGTCTGGAACAATAACATAAATAATAAAAATACTTATCTGATTTCATTAATTAGACCATAATTACACCAAAAAGAACCTCAGGATGAGGGTGTGAGGGGTACCATAGTATTAATATTGATATAGAATTAAGTGCGGGACTTGTAACATAATAGGTGCTTCTATAATGTTAGGGAGTTCTTAGATTATAATTTTGGAGATACTAACATAGAATATGACGTAATAATTTTTTTTTAATCATAATTACATATTTGCATGCTACTTTCATATGGCTGATTGTGCTGGTTTTAAAACAGCACTTTCAACGCAAATAATGGATTTATTTATTTATTTAACCGGTATAGGAAATATTGATGCCAATCACTTTACGTCTAGTTAAAAAATATTTTGTTTCAAAGCATTTAATAGCTATGGTAGTGCGTCTATAAGACGGTTAGATATTTAAATATTCATCAAACAAAGGAGAGAACGAACTATTCTCTATTTAAGTTATAAAGGCCTGTCGAAGTTCTGAAGTCTTAATTGTTCGCAAGTTGTGCAACCGTCACTGACCGCTAACACAGTGATAGAAACAGTTTGTACAAAACTAAGTTTCGTTATGGATTTATTATAAGATTCTAAATTCAAATTTACATATAATGACTACCAAATGCATTATTAATTTTATGTTCATGTGGAATGAAAGTATATAAATTCGGGATTGGGAATAAAACGTGTGCATCGGGCGAGTCCCGTTTTTATTGGCATATAAATAGCTACTTTGCGTCAACTCCTAATAATGTTAATTCATGTAAATTCTATTGTAATTTGCCTTAATTGCTACTTTAGCATTTCAGATAAAAATAAATTTAGAATTTAATCAGCTATAGTAACTTATCCATACCCATAAAAGTACTAGACATATATCGCAGACTTTAATAATATATATGTATAATAGCAACAAAATACATTGTACAAGTTTAGTCAATAGATTATAATTGGTTAGCTATTTCCAACCGATTCTTTAATACATTAATATATGAAGCACACATTTAAGACACGAATTAAGTACCCAAATTATCGTCATTACATCACGAGCCTCGCTCAGTAAATTTTTATGTCCTACTAATTGTATTCACTCTATATAAACCAAGGCAATAAGATTTGCATATCGGTATAGGTAAACGTATAAAGAACGGGAAAGTTTGTTAAATAGCTCTTATCATTCGCTTCCCCTGTTAAACCTGTATAAACCTATGTTATAGGTTAATTAGTAATATTTTTTTTTATATTAGTAATATAATTATATTGTAGAGGTACGCTTTAATTATAAAATAGTGCAAACACAAAATTCTGCGAAGTCTTTTGAATAAGAATACGTATTCCAATGTCACGCTAATATTTAATGTTTAAAGAACTTTATTTCTCATTCCAAAAAAAATATTTTTATTTACATGAGAAACTTAATATAATAAACGAATGAGATACGCGTCGCCATAAGCTATCCCAATTTTAGTCTATTAGGCTCATTCTAATATGAATCTTTAATGCCCTTTGGAATTGATTAAACACGCTAATGTTACGAATTTTAAAGGGTAATTGATTAAACGATTGCACACCCTCATACTCAATAGACTTCTTTAAATAATTTAAGCGCGGCTTCGGCAAGATAAGCAAACTTGCTCATGCTACTAGATTATTAGCAAATATCTTGTGTATAGCAAGTAGCAATTATCTAATTACAAACCGAATTATAACTACTTACTCCATATATCCATATAACCGTTTCTAAAAAAAAATATTACCTAAATCATCCAAATCCGATTACTTGAGTAAGATCTTGAGTTCGTTTTATCTAAAGACACTTTTTTTCAGAAGTCGATAATTTTTTGTTTTTACATGGTGAAAAGGCGGCCTTATCACTACTAAGCGATATCTTTCAGGCAAACCTAAAGCTTTGTGTTTTTTTTTTTTTTTTTAGACTCACCTACCTATCTCAAAACACAGACAAACGAAAACAGGGATCATAGGTCAAGCTAAATATTATTTAATAACCTTTATAAAACAATTCTATTGCTGCATTAATTAAATCATTCTTCTCTATCAAATTGTATTTGATACAGAAGAATGATTTAATTAATGATATCTTAGTCAAGGCGTTTAACGCCTTTGATTCCCGGAGTAATAATTAGTTCACACTTCTTCATTAAAAATCTCCCTGACCATAAAACGCGGCACTTTAACTCTTATCCTTTATGTTCTTTATCGGTTATGCCACCAAATTAAAATGCTCATCAAAGAATGTTCCATTTATTTTCCATTCCACGATAAAATGTTTAGATACATATTTTGGGGAAAGCTTCTATCAAAAATTCATGAAGCTTCATCTAAAAAAGTTTTGAATTTCCCTTCGTAAAAATTGACTCGTTCACACAATTTTATTTTCGGCTTTTGTGTACTTTGGTATAAAGATTGTCCATTTTAGTACTATACCATTTTGTCAAAAAAATTCTGTTTATAACGAACAAACCTTCGAAGGAGGATCTCAATGACTCTCTCTCTGATTGTATGTATAATTGCGGTTTACTCACCAACTATCATATTTCCCTCGTTGTGCGGCAGTTTTGTATCTTTATCGACCTCCGGGACAGAATAATTTGCGACGACCACCTGAGGAGTCGTCTCTTCTGCAACAAAATAAATTGTTATCAAAAAAAGTTAGGCACATGTCGAAATGTGAACCTTCTGGTTTTTTAAAGTCTGTTAAAAAGACTTGTCGACAAGGTAACCTTTTAATGGATATACCAAATGTATTAAACCATAATTCTCGATTGAAACACCTGCGCTACTAAAAATACTGTCACATTTTGGATATATGTTTCTATCGGGATGTAGGTATTATCTGAAAAGTTCATTGCAGGTGTAAAAATCTTGGCTAGCAACATCTTAGAATTATTATTGTTTCTCTATCTTGATTTTATTAAGTATTATATAACTAAAAGCATAAAAGTTATTTAAATTTTCTATCCACGACACCGATTACTACTACATGATAGCCAACATCGTGTTGAAAATCATAACTGCCGTATTTACTGTGATAAAAATATAACTTTTTAATATTCACATAACAAGTAAAGAAATGTGATTAACAATACAATTCGTTTCACGATAGACCCCATCTAGGAGAAGGCTTAAGGCTACTTAATTATTTGTCCTAATATTACGCACACGAAGTTGCCAATATAGCACAATAAACGGCCAATCAAAGTAATTTGATACATATTGCTATTGACATTTTCTGTAATAAATTGAAAGGGTCCAAGGTTAAAAGGCAAATTGTCGTATTGATTAACATGACTGTAACATTGTTACATTTTTGGCTTCATACACGTCATCAATTTCCCATTAGCATTTAACCTTATAATACAACGAAATAAGGTTTCTACTACTTATGTGTCTTATTCTGTTAAATTATTTTTACACTGAAATGGAAAGGGACAAAATATATGCAGTTAAAAGTAAATAGAGCAATTTAAGGATAGCGTATCCACAGCACCTACAATTACAAAAACATTCAACGTGTTGTCGAAATAACTAAACCTTGTTACATTTACCTTAAAACCCATTTAAATCAAAGATCTCACATATATGCAAATTGAAGTCATAATATATAAGATCAAAGAACAAATAGGACTTGAAATTTGTCAAACTTTTCGATAGAAGAGACAGTTTTAGTTTATTCAATGGTTTCATTTAATTTTAATTAAATTGGTATACTATGTTTATTACACTACAAAACCTATTGTATAGAAAGGCTACCAAGTAACTTGGGATAGCAAGTTTCAGTACTACGTAATACTTTGCGATAGCAGCGCTAACCACGAAAGACCGCGGATGTCATAAGAACTTTCTCGAAAGTTAATCATCAGGGCTAATAAATAACATATTTGTCAAACAATCGGTTTTACAGAGTAGGGCTGCTGGTATGACCACAATACAGCCAAGGTACGATCAATACGACCTTGGACTCTTTAGGGAGTACTTGAACAATATAATTTTCTATTTTCGCCGTTCTGGGCTGATGTGGTTACGAAACAATTTAGTATCCCGCCCACGGGAAATAATTTACCGTGTTATTATTTGTTAACATACAACGAATAATAAAATTAAATACCTGCTTAACAATGTTGTTGCTGTATTTATAGGAAAAATAAATAAGCCGCCTCCGTGATTCACTAGATCAAGCAAAAGGATCCTGTAGGCTACAGGCTGAAACTCTACCCTATATTAATTTTTTGCCTTTGCTTTGTTACTTTACGCTTTAAACATTGTGAAACTCATGGTACTGTCTCAATCGAGTCCCATTAGTATATGGGATTACGGGAAATTCAATCACAAATAAAAGTTTTATGATCGCCCTTCACTGTAATTGGATATTTCTATTGTAATTATTTCCAAACTATCAAAGATTTCTAAGTTCTGCACCAGAACTGGATATATTTGTTTTGGGAAATCTGAGCGATGAGTGTAAGTTGTTTTTTAAGTAGAAAAAAATAGTTTGTAGATCAAGGTAATATTTAACATAGTTAACTATAATTGTATTTAGAAATGGTAATAGGGCATTTGATCGTCTTTTATTTTGAACCGAGTAGTAGAATCATGCTTCACTGCGACTAAAAACAACCTTTATTTCGCCTTAAACAAACCTCTGGTATAAATGTAACGTATGTTTAGTATTGTCTTTGATTTTTTAAATGTAACGTATGTTTCCAAGAAAACAAACAGCGGCTATTTTTTTATTCCTTGTAACAAGTAAAATAATACAAAACGTAAAAGCTACTGGTTTCAATAATATAATATCATCAAGACTTAAATATTTGCCGTTTGAGTCATAAAGTAAGCGAAATTTTTATCATTTTATAGCCGTTTCAAGTGGCTTATTTGATATATCGTCAGTGACGCGGAATGACACTTTTATTACACGTCATGTATCTTTAATAAATATTCGTAAATTTATTAATTCTTTAAGAGATAAAAATAAATTACAGTGAAGATTCTGATATACTACTAACACTGCCAAATAGACAATGTTCTTATATTTGTTCGCTTCTTGGATGAGTTAATAAATGCCTTATGTTTTCATAATAGATTTACCCGTTAAAAGATGGATCCGGAAGTCCGGGGTTTAATCTGGGCGAGTTAAAATATTTTTGAGTAGAAATTTTTGCTCAATGCATTACTCAAAGGCTATTGTGATTCTATTGCATTTGAGTACTAAATGTGGCTAAGTCACGAAGCTGCAAATAGAGTTTTGTTAAAACCTTTTTATTTTCAAGTCGCAATGAATTTTCATATCGCAGCGACCCTTTGTAAATTAACCGTGTCCCTCGGTAATGAAATCATGCAACCTACAAGTTAAGTTCAGAATATGCCATAAGTTTCATATAGAGTCCCGACCCCAAGGACATAGTTTCATTAGCACTTGTTAGCTATAGCATAATTTAACTTTCTCAACTACCTAACATTAAGATTCTTATATGATTACATTGTCGCATTTATAAGAGCAAGTTTCAATTGACTTTGGGCATTTTGGGGTATACAATAATGAATACAAACTAATAATTACTAGTTAATTAGTAATTATTATTTTTATTATTTTTATCAACTTTTTGGTCAAAATTGGTAAAAATACTAAAGCCAAATTTAGAAATTTCCAAGACCACGCAGTGAGTAATATTATTTTATAAGAGCAGTCAAATTGGACTCTTTTAACTAAAGTATTATTCTACCAAACATCAGTTTACACTGTGATGAAAAAAATAATTTTATTTTTATAAATAAGACCGAGAAAATAAAACGGACTCAATAATAAAGAAGAAGCTTTGAAAGTTTTTTTATAATAAAAAAAATAATTATCATTCCATATTCAAGTCAATGCCCTGATTAGATAGCTGAGACTATATCCAGCAAAAATTTAATTAGATTTTTCTATATTCTTTTTTAGAAAGCCCATCTCATCTCTTAGAACTTCCCGGAGAGCCTGATGCTACAAATCGATTAAATTTTGACCAAAATCACCGAATTCAAACACGTCTTGTCAAAATAAATATAGTATAAATTAAATAAATACTGTCCAATTCCATATTTTTTTATGAAAATACTCTAATATAAACTTTATTACATTCTGGAGATTCAAAACATGTCAATTATAAATATAATCAAAACTGTGTTTATGCAAAACCAACCACTACACTATTGTTACTAATTGGCAATAATCCCTTTTGAACACGAGCAGATCCATTTTCATACTGTTCAGTTTGAATTTCTTATTCAAAGTTTCATACAGCTTTCATGAATATTAATTAAGTTTCATTTGAGATATCGGGCAGCAGTGTAGTAATGTTTAATTAACAAGGGCCTACAACCATGGTTACCCAGATTATATGTTTCGTCTTTTTTTTTTGTTGGTAGGTAATCTGCTATATGTGCTGGACACGCCGGGAACTCATTAGGTCAAAGGTAATCATTAGGAAGAGGTATCTTACCTTATTAGGTATTAGGTATTCTGGTCGGCTCACAATGTTTTCCTTACCCAATGAAAACTCTAGAATAACTCACTCAAATAGAAAATCCATCGGTGCAAAGTTCTTATGCAAAATAACCTAATTAAGTAGTCGCAATAATTAATATTTCAGTATTATTAGTGTTAATACTATCCTTAAATTGTCTTCCACAACTAAAGGTATAAACTTTCTAAGCAGATAAAATTAATAAAACAAATTAATTAAAAGCGATTATATCAATCACGATTTGAGCGCTCGGAATTTAATTTTGTATTTCGACCAATCAAATTCTTTAATACCATTAGAAATCATTTTAATCTGCATTCGTTATTAAATTGAATATGAATAATTTATAAATCCGCTTAATGAATTTATTTCGGGGATTGTTTATGATCGATCAATAATATTCAATCAAATTCAAAAAAATATATACATATTATTGCGTGAAAATGTCTACAAAAAAGGTCAAACAAAAAGCTTCGAGAATTTTACAGCGCTCGGGAAAAAAATATCAAATGTTAGTAGTTCGACTTAGGGTCCTTCAAGAAAAGAGCATACCAATTCTTGAAAGGCCGGCAACGCACTTGCGAGCCTTCTGGCATTGTGAGTGTCCATGGGCGGCGGTATCACTTAACATCAGGTGAGCCTCCTGCCTGTTTGCCTCCTATTACATTTAAAAAAAAGAGTAGATCTTTCTCTTTTAAAAACATGACTTCTATAGAAACTAGATGATTTAGAGAAAGTTTTTGTCCTCCATTGACGTAATAGATTAATTAATTCTAGAACAAAACTTAATCAAATGGATCATGACAACTGTTACTTATGTAAAACTATCAAGTATGATTATTAAAACACGTGGTATTATACTTAATGCACCTCAAAACACTTTTAATCACTTTGATCTGAGTATTTCGTAAATAATTAAAAAACGTGATCGAGTGGGCAACTTAATACCGCCGATGTCAAATCTCTTATCGCTTATATGACCTAAATACAGCGAAGCACGTAGGTTTTAGATGTTGATATTAAGTAACCTAATGCCATACAACTTTTAATGACCATGTTTTTAACCTAGGGTTGACTACCACCATAGATTGACCAGAGCGGATATGATCCACGTTGAT